AAATCGTTTTGAACCGTTTATACGAAAACGGAAAACGGGCTATCAGGCTGGAGTTAGCACGTGCTGGCTTGGCGCAAGGGCGGGAAGTAACACGTTGTAGTTGGAGTTGGTACGGTAGATTCTATGTGCTGGTGGTCGCAAAGGTCAGGCATTTCCCGCGAAATAGTCCCGCGCGGAATGGTTTCCATGACCGCGCTCCGCTTCCAATCGTGTTCACTGTTTTCACCGTTTACACGAGAACGAAAACGTTTTGAAAACGTTTCAAAACACTTTGAAGTGAAGTGCGTTTCCATTTCGTTCCGTTTAGGTATCGTTTTCGGGCGTTGTCGTGTAAACGATAGTAGTAAACGCAACGATTTCGTTCCGTTTAGGTCCTACTTCGTTGTCGTGTAAACGCAAATCGTTTTCAATAGTTGTCGTATAAACGCAGCCTCAGCTTTGCATGCCTTGCTGCCTTCGCCTGCTTTCCAGCAACCCTACAAAGGGTCGTCGGTATCAAAGCGACATGATTACAACAATGAAGACAAAAGAGAGAAAAAGCCTTTCTGGTGAATGACTGTACTTTTTTATTTTTTTACTGTGCACTAAAAAAATAAAATAAAAAAAAGTACAGTCATTCACTAGGGGAAATTTTCGGTGAACTCTTCTCTCTACCTTTTCTATGACCGAGTATGAGGTGCCTCTCAAGTCATTACGCACATCGTGTAGGTGGTGTGGAGGGGCATTGGGAGGTTGGGTGGAGCTTTGCAAACAGAGCGACGACATGACATTGTGTAGTACTAGATCTACATGTAGACTGTAGACTGTGGTAGACTCTACATGTATACATGTAGTACCGGTCCCGGAGCTTCTGTGTGAATGTAGATCTACCAGGCGACTACTTGCCATGATCGTGGAGATACTTGCAGTAAGGCAAGGACATGTCGACAGGGACCTACCAGTCCACCACTGGCATCAGTCCACGGATCGATTTTGCGCGCTGGTGTCTCAAACCAACTGACACTAAGACAGTCTTGTCTGCAGAGCTAGACAACCAGATCACGCGTCCCAAACAACCAAGTGACAGTCCCGAAAAGGCGCGAGGCTCCCTACCTCCTCCCTGTACCTGTCTGCCCTCCACTGCTCGAGTACCCACGACTCGCGCCACTGAGCGAGTGTATGTGATAATCGACAACGTACACGTAGATGTACATGTAGCCATTCAAACTGCGACCGGCCAAACAGTGTTGATTCTCACAATGTGAGGTGTGAGATTCACCACTACGGCACTAGGCCTGTGTTCTTGGTCTCGTAAGCTTTGGAAGCTAATGTCGTGAGACAGTCACAGAACTAGAGAGGCCTTGTAGACAGTCTACCAAGGTTGAGTATGTGTCATCGCTTGCCGACAGCGAAAAAATCCTACTACTTTGTACAACTGTCCAAGTACAACTAACGAAGTACACGCGCAAGTACTGTCGTAGACCTACGCCCGTACGTGTACTTTTAAAACTACTCGTCTCACCCCTCATGCTCTCACTGTAGGCACCGGCGGATTATGCCGGCTAAGGGCCTGGTCAGACTGCGGCAAAATCAAAATAATCCTAGGATTATAATCCGAATCTCCATAGTAACTTGCCGCCAGAGCGGCAAAAGCGAGAGTTGACGCTCCAAAAAAAGTAAGAACGGACCACGCTTTTCCGCTCCAAACAGGATTTGACGCTGATACGCCATTGACGCTGATAATCACTGATTTTTTCATCTCGATATCGAGGAGCTAATTGGCCACGGACAACACCGAAACCCATAAGGATGGTTGCAAGGATTGCACTGAAGGTGTTGGCGATCCACAGGGTGAAGGAATTTGACGTCATTCGTGGAGATGACCACTTGACGCTCGAAATGAAGTTTGAATTTTCATTCTCCCCACATGTGTAGTGTGATCGCGATTCTAATTCTGGACGCTGTTATTTTTTCGTCAGGCAAACAAAATTTGCGGCAGTCTGACCAGGCCCTTAGAATCAACTCGTAAAAACTCCAAGTCAATCTCCAATTGACACAAACCTCGTTTATTCAACATAATCATATCGAAGTAGTGGTTGCGACTTCGGCGATGATTTGTAAGAAAAGGTTTGCTCCCCACACCGGAGCTCGCGCTATTCCGCCGACTTACTTGACACTTGACTGACTCACGACTGCCATCCAGAGCACACGAGAAGTCCAGCGAACCTTCGACTCGGCAAACCTGCAAGAAAGCACCACTCCCTGCTCAATACACAGTGTTTCGGGGAATTCACCCCTCATCAGTTGAGCTTGAGTAGGCTGAGGAAGATTGTGCCTGAAGAGCACCACTTATATAGTGCTCTCCAGGCACAAACATCACCAGGGATACAAACTTACAGAGACGCTCCGTTTCCAGCGCGACAAACACCTGGTGAACACCAGATAGCAGCGTGAGTCAGTGTCGCTCCTGGACGGTGAGACAGACGTCGAGGACCCTTGGTCATTCGCAACCCTGTCACCTCCCAAACCAACTAGTCGCAAGCCCGCGCATGGCACAACAGTACGAAGTAGTGGTTGCGACTTCGGCGATGATTTGTAAGAAAGGGTTTGCTCCCCACACCGGAGCTCCCGCTATTCCGCCGACTTTACTTGACACTTGACTGACTCACGACTGCCATCCAGAGCACACGAGAAGTCCATCGAACCTTCGACTCGGCAAACCTGCAAGAAAGCACCACTCCCTGCTCAATACACAGTGTTTCGGGGAATTCACCCCTCATCAGTTGAGCTTGAGTAGGCTGAGGAAGATTGTGCCTGAAGAACACCACTTATATAGTGCTCTCCAGGCACAAACATCACCAGGGATACAAACTTACAGAGACGCTCCTCTGATTTGTAAGAAAGGGTTTGCTCCCCACACCGGAGCTCGCGCTATTCCGCCGACGTGTTTCTCACCGTCCAGGAGCGACACTGACTCACGCTGCTATCTGGTGTTCACGAGGTGTTTGTCGCGCTGGAAACGGAGCGTCTCTGTAAGTTTGTATCCCTGGTGATGTTTGTGCCTGGAGAGCACTATATAAGTGGTGCTCTTCAGGCACAATCTTCCTCAGCCTACTCAAGCTCAACTGATAAGGGGTGAATTCCCCGAAACACTGTGTATTGAGCAGGGAGTGGTGCTTTCTTGCAGGTTTGCCGAGTCGAAGGTTCGCTGGACTTCTCGTGTGCTCTGGATGGCAGTCGTGAGTCAGTCAAGTGTCAAGTAAAGTCGGCGGAATAGCCCGAGCTCCGGTGTGGGGAGCAAACCCTTTCTTACAAATCATCGCCGAAATCGCAACCACTACTTCGTACTGTTGTGCCATGCGCGGGCTTGCGACTAGTTGGTTTGGGAGGTGACAGCGTTGCGAATGACCGAGGGTCCTCGACGTCTGTCTCACCGTCCAGGAGCGACACTGACTCACGCTGCTATCTGGTGTTCACCAGGTGTTTGTCGCGCTGGAAACGGAGCGTCTCTGTAAGTTTGTATCCCTGGTGATGTTTGTGCCTGGAGAGCACTATATAAGTGGTGCTCTTCAGGCACAATCTTCCTCAGCCTACTCAAGCTCAACTGATGAGGGGTGAATTCCCCGAAACACTGTGTATTGAGCAGGGAGTGGTGCTTTCTTGCAGGTTTGCCGAGTCAAAGGTTCGATGGACTTCTCGTGTGCTCTGGATGGCAGTCGTGAGTCAGTCAAGTGTCAAGTAAAGTCGGCGGAATACCGCGAGCTCCGGTGTGGGGAGCAAACCCTTTCTTATAATCATATCCTATCCAATAAAAACAGTTTATAAAAACAGCTTTTTAGGATCGGACCCAGTCCGCATACCCAAGAGAGCTAGCTCCCTCGGTTGCTGTTGGAATATGCAAGAATGGGCCTTCCACATAATGTCTAACAAGGAAAAGTGGCTACATTTATGAAAAGAACACCGGTGACCATGGAGACAGAACACATTCTCATATAGATACTAGAGAGGTTTTGCATTCCGAATTTCGGAATTATTTTCGGAATGTGGCGGCAGCAGTCGAAAAAGTAGTCGAACTTTCGGAAGTGTGGTGGCGAAAGTGCATGGTTTTCCGAAAATGGATTTTCGGCTCTTTCATGTTTGGGAGCGCATATTTGAATACAAAAAAGTGTATTTTTCATTTTTGTATTTTTGCTTTCTGCTGCTCTCGATCTCAATTATTTGAAAATATTCCACGTATGTAGTTATGATTTTTGCTGGTTTTGCTGCTCTCGCTGATCTCGCCATGTTGACTAATCTTCTCACACTCTATCTTCCTTTGCCATGAAGCCTACTTACAGTACAAGACAGTAGTTCGCCAACCTCGTCTTCAGCTGTTGGACCACTTGGTCCACCACCAGTCCGTCCTCGTCTTCGAACCGCACCCAAATAATTCAGTTTGACCTGCGCACATGGATTTGATCCAGGGAGTCGTAAAATACCGGTATTTTACGACTCCCTGATTTGATCCTGCTCAACCCCTTCGACGCTCTCCATTTTGTTTTGCATGGCAACCCTTGGAAACGAAGTCGAATCAGATTTTCGGAATGCAAAACACTGAAAATAACGTTTTTCGGAACGCGCTTTTTTCGGAAAAGCACGGTCGAAAATCATTCCGAAATTCGGAATGCAAAACCTCTCTACTGGTTTCAAATAGACCGAATAAGGAAAATTATCTGATAGCCTATGAAGAGTAAAAGAAATTGAACCAATGACAACAAATACTCGTCCAGTACACGAGTTGTCATGGAAACACAAATAACAGCTGTCCACTAATTTTGTTGTTGGAGATTGAGAAGAGTTTTTACTGGTTGATTCTAAATACAAATATATGAGGAGGCCGAGGGTTTATTGGTCATAAACCCTCGGCCTCCTCATTTATTGTTAACATAATTGTTAGGTGGTTGAAAATGTAGTATCCCTGCCTGACCAATACGGAAGCAGTACGGAACTAATACGGAGCTTTGCCTGATGTATATTTAGTG